TACAATCTAAGGAATTTAGGGAAATTTTGATGATAAAAATGAGAAATTTTGATTTTTAAAATGGAAGCACTGAATGAAAATCGCCTAAAAATATCACTTTTAATTACAAAATTATCAATTTCCCAACATATATATGTTACGTAAGTAATTATACGTAATACAAGCTTCAATTTAAGGTAAAATTCAACCACAAACAATTCACAAAACGTTTTAAAGTGTTCTTTATAAAACTAAACAGCCTTTAACTATTAAATGGCTTTATCGATAAACTTTGAGTTTGCAATAAAATGATTTCAAATTCTCGCTTGCAAATAACTTTGCTTTATTTTTTATTTAAAAAATTCAATATAATAAAAAGGGAATCAATATTAAAGATACACTGAAATTATATGCTGTCTTGTTTTAATAGTTGATTCATATACGCAAAGGCCGTCGGGTTTTAAAGCCATTCTAAAATCAATATTTAAAACAAACTTACCTTCGTTAACGTCGGCTCCCTTCCTTTAGCTGATTCTTTCGCCCTTTCTTTCTTGAAATTTACAAAATCTTGCAGAAATACGAGCAAAAATGAAGAATATTTGCAAGAAATTTATCAATCATCAACTCATCAAATCAAGAAATGTTTGCTATTTCGCTGTCGTCATGCAGTCGTTATAATGCAAACTTTAAGTTGGACCAATCAGTGTCCGTTATTCATGACAGTCCGCCATATTTTTGAGATCAGTAAGGATGACCACCCATCGTTGGTGACCGACGCCCGCGCTCATTGATGAACTTTAGACTTCGCTAATGCTTTCGTTTCCCCGGGTGTAAATAGCCGGGGGGAATTAGTACCCTCGCACGGCGCTTCGCGCCGCCGGCTCGGGGATCACATACAGAGTGTCCCCCCAAAAAAGTGACACTATAGAAATTGTCCTATTGTTATAATTTGAATGCCTGAGCACTATGCTGAACACAAGAGTGCGTAAACACAATTAAATTGAATTTTTTATTACCAGTCGCAAGAAATCCTGTGGCCAACAACAATAGGATAATTTCTATAGCGTCACTTTTTTGGGGACACCCTGTATAAAACCATGGATAATAAAATAAATGGATAGGAAACTAGCTGACGTGCATGACCTAATGTTTTCAATGGGCTGATGGCGTGATTGGATGTTGAAACCTAGTTGCAAACCAAATTCTCAAAAACGGCATGTTTAGCAATAATACAGCTAAACATTTTAGTCAAAGAGCAAATGAATATAACTACGCCATTCTACGATGAAATCTCTAAGTATTCCCAGTCAATTTTAGCAAATATTTCAAGCACTAAACAGTGAAAAAGGCATCCCAAATTCTTTAAAATTGGGGACGCCAATTTCGTAGCTACAAATGTAAAAAAATACAAAACAAAGACGAAAAACATTTACCTTGAGTAATTTGTCGTGGCTTAGGCATGTTTTTAAAACAATTAGATCGGTTTATTCTTCAATATTGCTCTTTTAAGGCGGAAAATATAGCGAAACAACAAAAATGCAGAGAACTTTGCAATACGTGTGACGTCACAGATTGCAACTAGGTTGTTTTGCTTACGTCAGCGAGAGTCCTATCCATTTATTTTATTATCCATGATAAAACCATCCAAATGGTAGTGATTTCCTTCGTCTTTTCCTCGTGAATTATTAATGAGTTTTTCAATGCCTTTTCCCCCCATAGGGTGGCGTTATCTTGGTATCCCACGACGAAAGATTAGTACGAACTGTTTGTAATGAAATTTGGGTGTGTGGACAGAGAAATATACGTTCTATCGAAGGAGGATTTTCTGAATATAGACGTATTTTAGAAGATGAATTTAAAAGATTGTAAATTTCGGAAATTAATGCAAAGAAATTTATGTATAATTAATTTTATTGCTGCCTGTTTTGTTTGCGATACAGCGGTTTTGAGCATTCCCAAATTCGAAGAAATGACAAGCAGTTGCCTATGGTCCTCACTTTACCACTGGAAAAAAAGACCAATACATAAAGACCAATAGCCTCCTGCGCAGACGTTGTTAGTGGCCGAGGCCATAAAAGACCAACAGCTTTATTTTTTTGTCCAATTTTGCCCATTCTTTTAGATTTTGAAACAAGATTGTTTCCTTTATGTCCGATTTCTGCCTCTTAATTAGTTTTTGGAAAGGTGGTCAAAATTGGCAAAAAGTAAAGCCTAATCCCTTTACTTTTTTCTCCAGTTTTGGCTTTTTGTTTTTGAAAAAGTGGCCAAAATGGCGAAAAAGTAAAGCGTACCCCGTTTAGTTTTTGCCCATTTTTGGATACTTTTTAGCTTTCAAAAAAGTGGCAAAATTATAAAGGTTACAAGTTTTTACTTTTTGTCCAACTTGGGCGACTAAATTTTTGAAAAGATGGTCAAAATGTGAGAATTTGCCCAATTTTCGACACTTGTTTACTTTACTTTCTGTAATATTGACCAAGAAATAATAATAAAAAAACAGATGATATGCACTACAGCCCGTTTTCACTAGGCGAATTCAGTTTGCTCTCGTTAGTTTCTAGATGAATAATAAATGTACAAAATGTATACAGTGAGATGTAATATGGTGACTACAGGACTTAGTATATATGTAATATGTATAAGAAATTTTCACCATTAAATCATTAATTGACCAGAAAATGTGGCCTAGACTAGACGTTAAAAATCTCACAACTTGTACCAAGTCTGTCAACAAGCCGTCAACAAGTTGTATTCGCACCGCTTGTCCCAAGTTGTGGAACAAGCTGTTAACAACTTGTAACAATCTTACTGATACTATCAGACTTGTTGCAAGGCTGTTCCAAAAAGTCCGATATCAGTCATGATATACTACATTGTTACAACCTTGTGTCGTCAACCTTGTAGCATTCTTGTTATGTCGTGAATCATGATTGTATCAGACAGACAGACCTTGTATAACAAGTTTGATAATGCCATCAAGCTTGTTCCAAGTTGTTAACAGCTTGTTATAAACTTGTTACTGGATGCAACAATTTGACGTGTGCAATCTTACACGCGTAAAAACGCACAAGTTGTTACAGGTCTGCAAACAAGTTGTTACAAATATGTTCACAAGCTGTCAACAAGTTGTCTTCGCACTGCTTGTTCCCAGTTGTTGGAACAAGTTTGGAACAAGCTGTTAACAACTTGTAACAAGCTTGATGGCAAAATCTGACTTGTTACAG